TTAATATTTATAAGTCTAGGATTGTGATTTTCTTATTTCTATTATTATTTTTTTTATTTAAACTTTTTTAAAAAATCCAATATAGCCATTTTATAAATATATTCTAAACATATTATCGGTGTTACAAATATTAACTAAATACGAATCGTTAAATGTTTACAATTTTTTTGAAGTCTATACAAAAATCATTAACGAAATATCATTTTTCACAGAAAAACTACCAAATCAATTGATATTATTTAATTTGGTGGCAATGAAAACAATTTAAATTATCAAAAACTTATCGATCAATTACAGAAAATTAACCAAATTAGTTTTATTTCAAAATAAACGTGTACCATGCCTATTACGGATTTTGTAAAAAAAAAAAAAAAATGCGTTTGTTTTAAGATTTTAAAAAATATTTATACGAATCATAGCGCACAAAGCGCACCAGTAACTATTTCAAAAAGGAAAAACTTTAAAATATCGAAAAAAATGCATTGGATTCGTCAGATCTAGGCCGTGTGACACCCTGCACAATATTGTGCAGTATAGGCGGCGTCCCGTTTCCCGTCAACACGAAACCGGCCGAGCGATGTGTGCCGGATGAGATCTGAAATGTTACAGTGTCGTTAATATTGTTGATAACGCGACATTTAAACACTTTTCACAATAGTCGCTTAAAAGGAATAAAAAATAATTTCTCGAATTGTTCCGTCTGCGGACGGATCACAGCGATTGTCGACCGTAACACGCACTTTTCGTAACATTATAATGTTAAAATGTTAAATATTCGACGTTGGACATGTCGAGTCGTGTTATTATGGGCGACCGTGACGTAAGATTGCGCGTCCGGAATTTCAAAACAAACGAACGGCATAGATAGTTCAACGCGCGTCGCGCGCAATGACGCAATCTATCCGTGTCTGTTTGATTGATAGTAATGTTAACAAACGTTATAATAATAATATAGTCGCATTAGTATTATCAGCTATTTAATATACTGTGGGCGAATACAGGCTGACAGCGTTGCGAACACGTTTGTTTACACTCGTATACGACGCCGGTGCGTAACGGTTATAATTATTACGGTAACGCGATTTGTTTAAACCAAACAAGTTAAAATAAACGTTTGCGCCCGAACGCAACGTTATTAGGCACAATGCATACATCGTTATTTTATAGAGATAATAATAATATAACGTCACGGCTAAATATATCGGTACACGGCGGCGATTCGTGGTAAGGCAGGTGTTACGGCCGTCACAGGGCGATTTTATCAGTTACAATACCAGTACCGTAGCCGGATAAAAATGTCCACGGGATAAAGGGTCCTAATAATTATTCGCAAGTGCGCGTGAAAACTACACCGCCAATTCGTGTTAGTTACAACAATGAGTTGGTTTCATAAAAAAAAAAAAAAAAAAAAA